AGTCAAAATTTTGCCCTGATGATGGTACTAGATGAAAAGTCATGGGATCACCAAAGTCACAACGATCTATCCTCTGGGGACCCTGAGTATCTGTAGCACATTTCATCACAATCCACCCAATAGTTAACAAGATATTTCATAGTGAATCATAAATGTCATTCATTCATGGTGGTGTGAGAAGAAGGGTCAGGGGACCACTAAAGTCATTGAGATTCATCCTCTGGGATCATGAATGAATGTCTGTACCAAATTTTATGGCAATCCATCCAATAGTTATTTGGATATTGCAGTCTGGAACAAGGTGTTGGACCAATGAACTGACACTGATATCCTTAGTAGATCCTTAGTACGATTTGTGGAAAGAGATTACTATGTCACATGTTTTAAATGCCATTTTTCATGGCTATGAAAACCACAATTTAATTCAACTCATGTCTATCTTATTAAAAAATCACAGACATGTATCTCAAAACCAGGATGATTTGGGTGAACTGATCCTTGTAAATCATAGAATGACACATGGTTTACAAGACCATAAACAGTACACACAAGCTGAATTTGAACTTGTCATGCTGTGAGGACACAATAAACCCTCTAGCTTGTGGCACAAGTTGTTTACACAGTGCCTAAAAGCCTAAAAGTGTTTTTTCTGGTACTGTGTACAGAACATCCAGCCTGGTTCTGCTGCCTGTCCAACCGACTTTGCCTGCCAAACACATGTATGGCAAAACTGACTCCCTAGGCTGCAGCAAAGTGCGGCGCATCCAGGCAGACGTGCTCTCTGGCCCTGGTAGGAGAGGAAGAAGAAGCACTCAAAAGCCACCCCCCCACCCCCCACACACACACACACACAGATGTATACATTCAATTCAATAATGTACACACCCACCCTATCGTTCAATAATAAAGACACCAAAAGAGGCAAGTAGGTACACACTGCTTCCTCTCTTTCTTTCTCTCCTCCTCCCTCTCTTTCTCTTCCTCACACACACACACACACACACTCACACACACACACACACACACACACAGCCTCTCCCTGGTGGATAAATCAGTCCTTTCATGCTCTGTCGTCTGGCTGGCCCTGTTCTACTGTGTTTCTATAATAGAGAAGGAGCAGTCCCTCTCTTTTACTATTCCAATGGTCACACATACATCTTCCTCTTCCCTCCCTCTCTCTGTTCTTCAAAGGACTTCTGGTGGAGTCAATCTACAAGTACACTGTAGACTGCAGATAGGGGACTTACAGCACGTGTAATGGCTGAGGAGGATATATCAGCCTAATGAAATGTGTGTATGTGTGTGCACTTGTGTGGGTATGCGTTTGAAAGATGGCGAAGTACAATTTGCTCTTAAGTGATAAGGATTAAGGTAATAGCTTTTTGAAATAGGACCGCAACGATGATGAAGGTGGTCTGATTAACATGGATATAATAATGTTATCACTGGCCTGTAATCAGGTGATAGCTTAGTGTTGATAATGATGATGTTAATGATGATGATGGTGCCCCAGTTGGAAAAAAACCCTGTAATGATTCAAAAGGCACATTTTTTAAGATTAGTGTGCAGTAAAAGAATGTCATGTTTGTTAGAGGATGCGAAAGATGCCCCGTGGAGTTATCTTGTCAACAAACAAAAGCTATGTTTACATTCAGTGTTTTACAACAAAATGCCTTGTGAGTTTCCTTGAGCAAGGGCGTAGGTTTTGTTACAACACTAGGGGGGTGGACACACACACACACACACACACACACACACACACACGAAACGCAGAGGCTTTGAAGGTCCTCCGCCAGAAAATTTGAGTGTCAAAGCATTCTTGTGAATTTTTATGCACCAATTTGTGCCTTTTCTGCATCTATATAAGGTGCAAATGTCTTTGCTTCTGTCAAAACAAAAGTCCTCTGCTAATTTCATGCTTATATTGTGGGCCACAAATGCACACGTTCTAAATATTGATAGGAATGTGTCTCCTGCATCCCCCCCAAAATTTACACATAAGTCCTTAAGGTCTAACAAATGTGTTAAATCCACCTCCTTCCTCATAAAACATTTGCAAAGCCAATTATTTAAATAATTTTTAATCGTGTAGTGTTTGTATCCATGTTGCTGTCTTCTTCTTCACTGGCTTTCTTGGCACATTACTAATTACCACCACTGACTGTCAGTCAACTGAAAAGTGTGAAACCACATGCTCGAGCATCCTCCTGTGTGTACATAATACAAAGAAAGTGGAAACCCACTCATAAAAACATTGCTCTATTGTTAATGCACTAATATGCTCAAGATCCTTACCTTTGAATATTGTGGTAATATGATATAACAGAATGTGTAGGACGAGGTCTGACAATGACTCATAATGACATCTACAAGAAGTCACTACAGGAGCACTTATTATTTAAATAAAAAGGCATTTTAATGAAGCTGACTTTATCATGGATTTATTATTTTAAAGCAATTACTTAAAGGTATACTATGCAGGATTTAAGGAACCAATGTATACAGTCATACAAAAGTAATCCTCTCAATCATCACTTATGACCCATTGTCAGTGTGTGGCGGTGTATTTGTCACCAGAGACTTTGCTTTCGGCCTGTATTTTCTTCTTATGGTGCTACTTTTGGGGACATTTCTGGACGCAGCACGCAGGTTAGGTTGGGACTTTATAAAAAATGTAGTGATCAGGTGTCAGGCCGTTAGCAGTACGTACCCAAGAGGAAGCTATGAAAATTGTAGACGAGGAGCTGAAAAAAACACAAACATGGTGAGGCAAAATGGCAAATGGACAAAGCTGGGGTTGGCTTTCACTTTCACTTGTTCTGGCGATACTGTTTGCAAACAGAAGCCGACAATGCCTGCATAGTAAACCTATAATTAATAGTTAATAAATGACTACCAGAAAATTACACATTAAATACTTATGTTGGTGAGAGGTCTATATGAACACGAAAAGAACACCACTTGTTAATAACTTTATAGGTTGTAAGTAATGCCTTCAAGATATACAATGCAGGATATTCCTAAAAAAACAATATACAGAGCCATACAGAAGAAATCCCTCAGTCATCACTTATGACCGACTCTCTGTGTGTGGCAGTGTATTTATCTGCAGAGACTCTGCCCTTTGCCTGGCTTTTCTTATTTTACTCTTATTTTCTGTGTTCGTGACATTTATGGGCGTGTACCCCCACAGCGCTCAGGTGAAGTCAGGGCTTTATAAAGAGTGACCACATGCCAGACAGTAAGCAGCAGGCATCCAAGCGACACAGTGCTGAAAAAATGCAAATATAGCAAGGTGAAATATCAAACAAGGGTGAATCTGAGGTTGGCTTTTATTTTCATTGAAACATTTGCATGCCCAAAAACCAGCTATGGGGCCAACTGTGGCCCAATTTTAAACGGCCCACGGCTTGACATTCAAAATATGCCACATGACTGACACAATATTAGTTAATAAAGCAAGATTACTTTTCATTTTTACCGTTCACCTCACAATGGAAGGACTACCGTACAGTTTGTATACATGCACCAGACATGTAAGAACTATGCTGGCTGAACTAATGTGTTTTCATAAACAAAGGGTAAGCAAGCAAGGCAGTGGTTACCTAATGGCAGACATTTCCTGCCAGGCAGCAGACATGACCACAGCAAAGACATGTAAAGTTAAGAGCGAGGGCAGCCCCTTTCAGGAGTGGTGGAAAGTTGAACTTATTTTATCTGAAAGATGAAACAGTTGCATTTGTCTTATTTGTATGTAATTTTTTAAACCATGTGAGAAGTAGCTGCCTTCCCAGGGATTTCAACAGTATCTAATCTGCGCCCCATTTAAAAAAAGTCTGGACACCCCTTACTTCCGACATCAATTATTCGTCAATGAGAAGATAGGAAACATGTATTCAATATTCATTCATTTCTGTAACCACTTATTCTCTTGAGGGTCGCAGGGGGGCTGGAGCCTATCCCCGCTGACATTGGGCGAGAGGGTACACCTTGGACAGGTCGCCAGACTATCACAGGGCTGACACATAGAGACAGACAACCATTCACACTCACATTCACACCTACGGCCAATTTAGAGCTATCAATTAACCTAATCCCCAACCTACATGTCTTTGGACTGTGGGAGGAAGCCGGAGTACCAGGAGAAAACCCATGCTGACACGGGGTGAACATGTAAGCTCCGCAGAGAAGGGCTCTCTCCTGGATCCGACCCAGAAACCCTCTTGCTGTGAGGCGACAGTGCTAACCACTACACCACCGTGCTGCCCACATGTATTCATTAATATCTGATTTAAAAAACCCTCAGTGGTGTCTCCAATTTAAAGGGTTTTGCATCCCAAGACACGCTAGTGTTCTTCTCATCTTATTAATGCTAATAACTCATGAAGCTATGAAGCATGAGTAGCCCATATAACTAACTGTTAATTAAAGCATTAGTTGCAACTTATAAAGCCTTATTTTATTAGAAATTTGTAACTTGAAACTTGTAGCTATTATTAATAGATTAACTCATGAGTCTTTCAATTTCTGAATAACCTAAAAAAAAGCTGTGTAATGTTTTTCCTATCCTAATAATGCCTTATAGCTGATCTATAAGGCATTAGTACATTATTTATTAGCAGTTAATTAAGCCATAAAATACAGCATATAAACACTTAATACAGAGTGCCTCATGATAAAGTGGTGCTGAACTATAATAAAGACACTGCAGTCACAGTGTGAGTTATAGGAATATTATAGGAAAATGACAGAGATACCTAGCTCCACACAGGGTAGCTTAACACGTGATTATTATGTAAATTGGTATGCTGTATTGATTTTTGGATGCCATGGTCGTGATGATGGTGGCGATGATCATGATGATGATGGTGGTGAAGATCATGATGATGACTGTGGTGATGAACATGATGATGGTGGTGGTGGTGGTGGGTTAGGACTGGGTGGTGATTATGACCGATGATGGACATCATGCCAATAATAATCACTTCCGAGAGGGAGCCGTGATGAAGAGATCAAGAGAAGGAAAAAGAGACAAAAGCAAGAAATTAGAGGTAGCAAAAACGTGCCGAGAGATTTTGAAGAGTCACGTTATTATAGAAGAGCGCGCGAGGGAGGGAGAGAGAGAGGAGGAGAGGGAGAGAGGGGGGGGAGAGAGAGGCGCGATAACAGCGTTTGTCCTTCTTGGACTCAGTTTTGTGACCGGCTGACGGGCTGAACGGGCGACGGACGAAGAAACTTGAGACAATCACACCGTGATCCGACGTCCAGAGGTAAATTCACAACCCAGAATCCAGATAATCCTGTCATTGTGAGCGTGTATGATTTTTTTTTCACGGCGGTCAGGCTGACTGAAGATCAGACCTAGTTTCCCCTCGCTTGGTATTTGGGAATTGCGTTTCTCTCTGCCTGCCTGCTCTTTGGCACCGCTGCTTGACTTCATCAGAGCTCACATTTTAAATTGACTAACGGTACGTGGCACCAAAAATACTTAAATATCAATTTGTGGTTTCCTTTAATTGTTTCAGTGAAATACATGCATGTGGTGTCTGCTCACGGCGGACCGACTCCGTGCGTATTTGCGATACCCCGAAGCGTTTTTTGCAGGTTTTTTGTCATAATAAAAGTATTTCCCTTAAAGCTTCACGTGAAATCACCTGTGAACTGTAGTTATGAGACATAGTACAGCGGGGCCAGTTTCATAGGGACGACAGTGAACATGTAGTCCCAACTGGGAGCCCTTGGTCAAAGAGATTGAGGACCTGTCCGCTGGCGCACTCATATGTGCTTTTATGTGGGGGGATTTCAGCGCCATAATAACTGCTGTACACACTGATCGATTCCCCTATTGATCCTTTTATCGATTCTGCCAGATTTGTAGTATATGTTTTCTACCGAGCACAAGGTGAGGAGAAGGGACTGACACTTTTTTTGTGCAAATTGGTCCAGCGCAATATTTTTACGCGTGCGAGCCGATTCCTAACAGACGGCGGTGCGAGTGCGCACTCCTGTCTGTCTGCAAGCATCCGTTATCGAAGGACGGCTGGGGGCAGCGACAGCCAGACTGTCACATACCGAGCTCCGACACCCCGGGGCAAAATATTTTACCTGCTCGCCGTCCGTATGCGCAATTTCTCCGCGGTTCAGCGCGTATCTAATGAGGTTCATCGGCTCCGAGTCGCTCCAAAAACCCGGCTTAATTGCGTCCATTTATTACGCGACCCTATAAGTCGGTGATAATAAGTATTTGGCTTCATATCCAGGGGTGTCGGTGATGCGCTTGTGCAGAATGCTCTCTTTTTTACGCCGTGCACAAATAGTAACACTGTTTGTGTTTGTGTTAAACCCAAAGCATCCATTGCCCTTCTGGGAAATACATTTGCTTAGATTTACGACCTACCGTCCCAGGTTATATCGATTATTGCAGCCTGCTGTGTACTATATTTTTGTAAGAGCAAGAAAAGTGGGTCTGCCACATCTATATATAATTTCCTCATGATGTGGAGAGCACGGCGAGCTTTTGATACAGTCATCTTTGCAGCTGGGTCAATTCTCAAGTGGAAAATCTGTGTGCTCTTATAGCCTCTTGTTGAGCTTGTACATAATAACTAATGTGAATGACTTCCACGTACACACACATATGGGCCTTAAGCGCCTGTAATGGCTGTGATCAGTGTGAGGCATGTTTATGTATGTGGAAAGTTCATGTATTAAACATCATGTATTATACATCACTGTCCCGCGAGGGTAAATGGGTACAATCAGTTCAATGTATGTGTGAACGGCATGATTATATTTGTTTATGTGTGTCTGGACTGATATGTGTGTGTATTTTTGCATAAGTTTATGTCTGAGTATCTTCCACTATGTGCATCTTTGATTGCATGAGCACTTTACTGCAATTTTCTGTGGACCAGCCGCGGAATCGCAAGGTTCTTTTTTTTTTTTTGGAAGAAAACAGGACGAGAGAGACGAGTGATTGGACACACACACTCTCTCCTCTTCTAATGTGGTTAAGAGAGAGAGCGCTGCAATCTGTGTGTCAGCATTCAGTTAGCGATTGTTTACACCAGATAGCTCTTGCATTTGCCCAGATGGGGACCAAAGAGCGATAGGGAGAAGAGAGAGGAGAGGGAGAGGGGAGGTTATAGGAGACATCAAGGGAGGAGAGGAGGGGTAGTAAGATGGAGAGAGGGGGTGTAGATGAAAGGTGGACAGAGGTAGGGGTGGGGCAGAACATCAGGACAGATTAAAAGAAAGACTAGAAAATGAGTGGAGAGTGGGAGGAACATAGAGAGGAAGGGTAGGGGTGGTGATGGAGACAGACACGGAGTGGATGACTTACAATGGTGACAAAACTGCCTGAAGAATAGAAGACAGGTGTTGTGGTTGTGACAAGTGAGGGAGACCGAAACCCATTAGTGGACATTACTGTGCATTATGGCGGACAGTAAGGAAGGGATTCAGGGTAGATTTTGGGATACTGAGAGAGAAGGGAAGATGCACCTGCAGACTCTGAAAAAAAACATCAAGGACATATAAAAAAGGTGTATTCAAGAAAGCAACTAGAGAGCTAAGAATGCACTTGGGAATGGAATTTGAATTCAGGTTTTGAATGAAGATTTTCATGAACCATCTTCCCCCACAAATCTTACATAACCTTGTTGCCTCTCCTGCCTGGAGTGCCTTGTAAAGTTTTGCCAGGGAGACAGATTACTTACTAATTATATTCCAGAGACTCCGCTGGCTGTCTTTCTTTTAAGACTCAATCAAACTCCATCAATGACGTGATGTCAGAGATGCTCCTAAACATGCTGATCACCCTTCTCTGGTTAGAAGTAATGGCTTCATATGCAACCCCCCTATGGGAAACAAACACGGGGAACATGGTAAACGATCTGTGAGCTTCTATTTCCTTTTGATTCCCTCCTAATGAGAATGGGAGAATCCCCAAGATGTGCACCCATGGGGGCTTTTCTCTTCCGACAGAGTGTGTGGCAGTCGACGGACGCGTACCATTCATTAGCTGACAATTCAGTGAAATGAATCAGACAACATGGCCTCCCAGGGATCCTCGTGTAGAACAAGGAAATAAATGCTTCTTGCTCAAGACACGAACATTCCCTAGGGCCCTTGCGCACAGAGATAATGTAATGGCAGAATTCCCTTTCCGATTGTTTCAAACGGGAAATGAAACAAGGAGCTTCCTGGATCTAACGTTGCGTGCCCCTCTTCTTGCTTTCCAGACATGGGGAAAATGGAATGAGCTGTATAAAACCTTCAGCAGAGTGCTTTTCCTCTAGTGTCAGTCTTTTGAAGCGGGAAGTGAAAAGCCTGTGACTCTGCGGTGACTTTGTGTGGAACTGAATCTCGACTATATCATCTCCAATTACCTACTCAAGGCGAGCAATTTTTCATCCATACGTGATGCTCCCTTTAAACTCAGCATAGATGTGAAGGATGATGTACTATACTTTCCCTCAGTGCCCTTTGATGGTGATCGTGCATCAGAGGAGGTGAAGACACATGATTGCTGATGCTGACTTTTTTTAAGACGGGGAATTCGCCAAGGGTTTCACAGCATGCATCTCCCAGGGAAAGTGTTGGAATTAGCTTGAACATCCTTCACACTTTTTCCCATCACGTGACGTTTCCCCAGTGTCCCCTCCGATGCAGCGCCGTGTTCCTCAGTGTCCCATGATGCAGTGCTGCGTCCCCAGCGTCCCCAGACTGAGGTTAGAGCAGGACACGCTGACCCCAGCCTGAGCAGTGCTATGCTGAGACATGGAGCCATTCTCTCCCTGGTGGTGATGGGAGGAAAGGGAGGAGAGGAGGGCGGTCATTTGGAGGAAATGGCTATGTCTAGCGGTGCAGTGTTTTTCCTCTGTGGAGGTCTGTGGGATGGTGCTGCAGAGTCTGTCACGGTCTGATTGTTCTCAGACCAACACTGCTGTTTACTCCTGTGCACGTGGTAATGCAGGAAGGTGGAGGTGCATATATGTAAGCACCTATTTGAGAGAAGACACGCACACACACACACACACACACACACTTGACTGCAACTCAGGAAACTCATACATAATCACTGTGTTCAAACTGTCTAGAAATTGTACTTGCACACACATAGACACAAATTCAGATTTTTCCTCAATTTTCTCCCTTCAACAAGAATTGAAAGAATGGAGGCGCATTCTCTTTCTACTGTCAGCAGGGGGGCTGTATTACTGCCGGAGTGGACTGAATTTCAGAGTGGGATGTTAGATTGGTGGAGGCAACTCCCAGTTCGTGGTGGAAGGCTGGGATGGAGGAGGACTCCAGTGGAAAAAGTACAGCAGCTCACTCCACCGGAGACATTATTATACAGAAAGACAGGAGGCTGCTCCGGGCTGAATGTGTGTGTCGGTGTGTGTGTGTTTTCTGTGTATTTACATTTATACCCTGCTGTGAAGAAATGACGAAGGAGAGGGCAAGAGAGTCAGACATTGACAGAACGAGAAAGCCTAAATGGCTGCTGGTTGTGTGTGTGTGTGTGTTAGTTATAGACTTGCTGCCACTGCTTGAAGTATTGGAGTGGTGAGCTAGAATTAATCTTTTCTCCAGTTGTTTCTGATGAAAAGTTGATTTTGAGCCAGGAATCGAGTGCTGGATAATGATACTGAGCATTTCCTCATATTTCTGTCAAACCCTTTTAGAAAGATTTCAATGTTTGCATGCGCCAGGTGCACAAATATTATGTCTAAGTATAGGAGGAAGAACATCATATAAATGGTTAGCTGAATGAAATCAGCAGCAAAGTATTACCTCAGAACCAGTTTTGGGATGTAACACATTACTTATATGTAACAGTGATGTGATTACTTTTTTAAGAATAGTCTATGGAATTGCAGTTTTGAATCCAGTAACTCAAATACAGTTACAAATCCCGGTAGCATTCCATTAGTTTGACAGTTTGGGGGTTTGACACTCTCGCTGTCCCTCAGGGAGTTTGATAGCAATTTCTTCTCTGTGCGGTCAGAGGACAGGCTGCTGTGGGCTGTCTTAGCTTGTACAAGGGAAGGAAGTGTCAGGAGACAGTTAGCCTCTACCATAAGAGGAGAAATGTGCCTCCTGCATGTTAAGTCTTTCACTGACATGTTGTATCTTCTTAGCCACCAGCTAACCACCAGTGGCATTGCCTACACTTCACTGGTAAGCCTTCAGATAGCTTATTTTAGCCCAGCCCCAGTGCTACAAATTTATTTTGCCTTTAAATAATGTAATGTAATTAATTTTC